AAAAATAAATAAAAATAAAGAACCACTGATGTAAGCTGGGCATGAGTTCAAGGGAAGCCTGGGCTACACTGGGAGTTCTAAACCAGCTTGGATTATAGAATGAGACCTTGTCTCAAAAAACAAACGAGCAAAAATACTATTTAATGTCATATGCTAATACTAGTTATCATTACCATTAGATTACAGCACTTAAGAGTTTTTACTGGATGCCAGACACTGCTTTGCAAGTTAATCTGCATCAACTATCAAATCCTCTCATCCCCACAAAGGGAGGCACTGATATTCCCACCTGACAGATAAGAACCATGGAGGCACAGATTGGGGAAGTGACTTGTGGACCTTGGGAGGGGGTGGCAGGCAGTCACAGCGGTATAGACCAAGATGGCAGTCATAACCTTACTTTGCTGCACTTCAGGAGTCCTCTTAGATGCCAGTACCGGGTTACTCTCACAGGTCAAGGAAGTAGGGCCACCTAGGAGACCGTCTCAGTAGGCAGGGAGGGTCACAGGCCACAGCAGGAAAACTAAGGGAGCCCCCGGGAAATCCCCCGGGCAGAGGTTTACCGTCGCCACAGGGCCTCCCGACCCCAGCCCACACGGCTGCTCACCTGTGGTCCTGGACACAGCCAGCGGATGCGATGAGAGCTCAGCAACAGAGGGCCCTGCAAGAGGAACGCGGGGCTCAGGGGGTCTCCACTGGGGTCCTTCTAGGACCCGCCCCCTGTCTACAGGCAGGGTCCAGCCAAGTTCCCTCCCTGGTCCTGTTCCTGCCATTCACCCTACGCTTCATTATGGACCCCTTCGCAACCTCAGTTAGGAAAGCCCCCACCCCTTCTCCCAGCGCCGCACCCTACTCCCTCACTTTCCCGCCCCTCGTCCTTCTCCTCTCAAGGCGAGCCCCACCTTCAGTTCTCTAGTCCCCTCCCTTCAGTTTTCAGAAAGGGCCCTTTCCGAGTCACGAAGGCAGGCTCCGCCCCCTCCGCCGCAGGCTCCGCCCCTCACACCTTCGAGCCGGGTCCTGCTTCCTTCTTGGCATTCGGCCCCGCCCCTTCTCTGCCTCAGGCACAGGCCCCGCCCCACTCCGTAACCGGGCCCGCCTCTCCTTTTACAAGCATGGCGGGGCTCCTCTCACCCTGGAAAGCGGCTCCCACTCCTCCTTCCCGGGGCCAGGCCCCGCCTCTTCAACGCCCGGCGGCCGGGTCCCGCCCCCTTCTCTGCCTCAGGGTCAGGCCCCGCCCACTCCTCACTCCACTGCTAGATGCCTCGCCGGTGTCTTGGGCCGGACCCTTCTCCATCCTCTGCCTCCTGCCGCCCCTCCAGTATAGTGTCCCAGCAACGTTCACACGCTCCCTGCGAAATGCCTGGACTCCAGCCCCCAGATTACTCCCGGGCCCCCAGAACTCCCACATCCCCAGTTCCACTCTACAGTCCTCGCCAGAACACAGGCTCGGCTTACCCAAGGCCCCCAGCTCCGACGCAGCGGGCGGTCTGACTGCGCGGCGACTCGGCATGGCCCGGCCAGCGGGGACGCACGGCCCGGAGGCCGGCCCAGAAAGAAGCGCGCACACGGGCAGGCCGGGCTGCCGGGAGGCACAAGCTGGTGGACGTCCGCGGGTCGGACAAGCGACACAGGACCGGGCCCGCAGGCCGGGCAAGACTTGCGGCGCCCGGGGCTGCGGGGGGCGCCGGGCCGAGCCGGGCGGGCGTCCCGGGAGAGGCGGCCAGCGCCGAGCCCCGGGCGCGCGAGGGCCCTGGGAGAGACAGAGGCGGGAGCGCCTCCGGGGACGCGCACCTGCTGGGACCGGCTGTCTTCCGCCGTGGGGCACCCGGCGAGGACCGCCACTAGAGATCCTAGGGAGCGGGTCGGCACACCTGCCTGCTCCGGGGGCGCCTGGGAAACGCAGCTTTCCCACTGGGGCGGGAGGGGGGAATCCGTGGCTGACAGCGAAAGGAGCTTCTGCCCTCGTGTTTGGGGGTCAGGGTGGATGGCTCTGAAACTAGCTAATTTGCCACATCTCCATGTGCCTCGGTTTCCCTGTCTGCTGTGGGAATAGCCCCCGCTTAGACAGCGTCAGTGGCAGTGAGAATAAAACCCGTGATAAGCGAGGAGCGCAGCTGCTTGTTTGGAATAAAGTAAGTGCAGAAACGTGGACTGGTAATTACTTTTGAAACCAGAAAGCTATCTCAAACCTTCATTTCCTGTAAAGAAGTTTTTACCAACCCATATCCCGACCCAAGGAGGTCCAAGCTGTTGGAAATTGAGTTGTAAAATCGTAGAGCCAGCGTTCCGGGTAACACCCCCACCCCCACCCCAAGCTGGGCCCTCTGGGAATGTCGAACGCTCTTAGAGGCTTAGGTGCCTATTTTCCCCATTTCCGAGAAGGAAATGTGGAGGGCTGAGGAAAGGGAGAGGCTTGTCTGAGGTCATCGGGTGCATTGGGGCAAAGCTGAGATAGCATCCTGCTAGGTCTGACTTCCTGAACCAGTTCCTGGGGCCTTCATGTGGTCGGTCATACAAGGGCCTGCAACTGCTCTCCGGGGTCGTTGGCATCCCAGGCCCCACCACTTCCACATCCTCATGGGTGCAGCCATTACACCGTCCCATGGAGGAGTTGAGACATTTCAGCCTAGATGACAGGTGAGCAAGCTGAGGCTAAGGCTACAAGAAATGACCTGCTGGGTATTAGCAAGAGCCACAGTCAGACCTGAAACCTGGACCTAGCTTACCTGGTACTGCATTCTTCCCTCTCAGAAGCAAGTTCTTCTGCAGTAGTTCTGGCAGTGGCCTGGCTGCTGGTGATATTCAGGGCCTTAGCCATTCTTATGCAGAGAGACTTCATGACTTCTCAGATCCTCTCCTGGGATTTCTAAATTCCATGGAAGCCTGGTTTCGCTGGTGCTCAAAAGGCCCTTTAGACTCACAGAAGTAAAAGGAAGTGCTTGGGGTTTGGGAGAAGTTTTTTACCTCCAAAAGGATGATCCTCCAGACCCGGCTGTGCCAGACCACATTCTTAGACTTTGCTCAAACCCCTTGCATGTGGCTCTCCACACAGTGGCTAGGGATCCTCCAAGCCAAGCCCAGGTGAGAAGAGGGAGGCTAGAGGAGGCTGCTTCTCCAGCCAGGCTCCCACCTTCCCAGGGCTTCTCCAGGTATTGGTGTCGAGTTGAGTCTGGGTTTGGACCCCTGGGTAGGAAGGGAAGGTGCATACAGCCCAGACCCGCTGAGCTCAGAGGGAAATATCATGAGATCTCAGGTCTTCAAGGAAGCCTAGAAGCTGGTGCCGTTGTGCCTGCGTGGATGTGAATGCTGAGTCTGGGTGGGAGTGTACCATCCCTGGTGCCCTGTGCCAGATGTGTGCCTTCACATCCCTGTGGCACAGCTAGGCTGCCTTTCTGCAAGCTAGAGTCCTGAGGGAGGACAGATGTGAGCAACTGCAGTTATTAAGCACTTGCTGTGTTCCAGGAGGCATATGGAGTCAGTGTATTGCGTAGCTGCACCAAGCAAGGAAATGAAAAGTACTACTCCATCTACAGATGAGGTGGCTTAGGCACATGGGAGTGTGCTGCCTCACGAGGTAGAAGAGGTGGGAATCTGTCCATAAATGTTCATTGAACACCTGCTATGTGCCAGTAGTCATCAAGTTGCTAGAAATGCTCGAGGCAGCTAGTGTAGAGGAGAAATAGACAAAAAATGCATTGTAAAATATCTGAGAAAGCAGGGCCCGGCCAAATAGCTCAGCAGATTAAAGTGCCTGCAAGCAGGTGCAGGGGCCAGGGGTTCAATCCCTGGGCCTGCTGGGCCCACCCCGCCCCCCAGGGCACACTGAGGCCGCAATTGAGACTGGGTATGGTGGCACGCCCAGTAATCCCAACTCTTGGGAGGCTATAAATAGGCAGATCACTGAGTCCGATCTAGTAGTGAGACCCTGACCTCTGTAGGCCTTTCTGAAGACCCTGTAGGCCCTTCAGAAAACAAAGGTTGGTGAGAGATGAGTTGGGGTTCATTGGCTATCCAGAATCGAGCATCCAGAAAGCTCTTCTCAAAGAAGTGGCATTTAAGTAAGGACCTGGAGTAGGCAAGAAACAGCTACAGCTGCAGTGTATTCCAAGGGAAGGGAGTAGTATGAGGCTAAGAGCTCGCAGGAGGCAGATGGTGCACAGCCTGGAGGTGTGAACTTGTCTGATCTGACTTTTTTTTTTTTTAAACTACATTTATTGTATATTTTTTTTGTGGAACCAGGAATTGAACTCAGGCCCTTGCACTTGCCAGGGAAGCGTTTATTCCACTTAGCCATCTCCCCGGCCCCTGTGATCTGACTTTGACTCTGAACAAGGCAGATGCCTGGAAAGGTGCTCAGCAGAGGACAGATGGGATGGCCTAGGTTCTCCCTGGCTGGCTGAGCGGGAGACTGGGGCTCAGGACACACAGTGGTGTGTGAGCAAGCGTGGGGGAGGCATCCAGGTCCAGGCCACTACAGGAGGCATAGGCAGGACTTGTCAGCGTGGGTGTGAGACAAGGCTGGAGCACAAGTTGGTCTGACTCAGGATTTGGGTTCTGAAATCCTAGCTTGTCACCATTTTTTGTGGGTGGGGAAAAGGCACACGGCTGCTGGACCCCTAAGACAAGTGGAGGCCCCAATCTGTCTCAGCCCTGTCATCCAGAAGTTGGGGGAAACTTTAAAAAATAAAAGCCCCTGCCTACTAGCAGCCTCTTAACTTACTTCCTTCTCTACTTCAGCTGCCAGAAGTTACTTGGGACCCAGCATTTTGGTATTTCTCAAGTCCTTTCTAGCCCCTATCCTGCAGGTAGAAAGACGGAAGCCCTGGAGGGGGCTGGCAGCTACCTTTGACCTACTCCAGATCCCACAGGCAACAAGGCTGAGTAGAGCCCAGTGGCCTTGTAGGGGTCAGATGCCAGCCTGTGAGTAGCCCTGTAAGACCCACTGTGCCCCCACAGGGCTCCTGGCACCCATATGATCCTGTGCCCTGTAGCATCCATGGTGCCCACCCAGAGCCAATGTCTTCAACAGAGAGAGGGATCTGCCTGTGTGCCTCCTGGCTCTTAGGCTATGGGTTTTTGGGGGAGGGAACTAACCCATGTGAACCTTGTACAGGCTCTCAGTTTCCACTGCCTAAGCCGCTACCCTCTGGCACCTCCCCAAGCCAGGCTGCTGGGACCTTTCACCACTCCTTGCTGCCTCAGTCTCCTCATCTGGACAGTGGTGTTTTGATCTGCTAAACTCTAGGGCTGGTGTGGGCAGGGATGATGGTGGAGGTGACCACCCTTCACTGAGATTCCCTGCCTCTATCCCCAGCACCCCAGCTGCTTTCCAACTTTTGTCCTTGTTATCACCTGCCTCACGACGCCCTCCTGGGTCCCTTTGATCCTGGTGGAGGGGGGGCTTGAGTTGGGGAGACACAGGGAGAGATGATTTCTGTCAGAACTGGTTACAGTGTGTGATCCCAACATGATTCACAGGCCTGGGGGGTTTGACATAGGGAAGGATTTTTCCAGGACAGGTGTGGTCCCTGGGGTGCCTGGCAGAGTTGCAGCCCTAGCTCAGGCTTGTTTCCTAGGCTCCCAAGAGACTAAGTCTGGCCATTTGAGCCAATCTAAGGCTTGGGGGTGCTCAGAGCCGGGCTCAGATAAGGATCTAAGGCTTGAGCCAGGCCAGGCCCCAGGGCTATGCCGTGTCCTTGGAGCCAAGATAGTATCCAGAGCTCTGCTGGCAGGAGGTGAGGGCGTGGCTATTGGTGCTGCTCCTCCTGCTGTTCTGAGGGGCTGCAGGTAGTCAGAGAAACATCTAGTTAGGTGACACTTGGGTGACCTGAGGAGCCCTGGGAAGGCCAGTGCCAGGTGACAAGAACTCTGTGCTGCTGTGGAATACAGGCTGCTGGTGGGCTGGGGAGGCCAGAGTCTGGGCACATCTGGAGGCTGTAGCCGTGGGCCTGTTGTGGGTCAGAACTGTCAGAGAGCCAGACAGGTCCACCTGGAGCATCCCTGTGGGTCTGCTGGGGATAACAATTCTTTGCAAGTCAGACATCTCTTGGGTGTCTGCCCAGGGCTGGTGCTGGGGATAGGGTGATAACGGCCCAGCAATGATAGCCCCAGAAGCCACTCCGCTTGACACAGGGAATGAGTGAACAGAAAAGCATTAGCAAACTGTTTGGGGCTGGAGCCCCTCCCCTCCTTCCTCTGTGGAACTGCACTGATGCAAAAGCTGGGGTTTCTTGACCCTGCAAGGCCCTGTGTGGTCAAGGCCCTAGACCCCCTGACTTGGCTTCTGACTCCCTGCCACTGGCGTGTTCAGGTGTAGCCTAGCCTCTCAGCCTCCTCACTGTTCCCTGAACATCCTACCCAGGTCCTTTGCATGTGCCATTCTCTCTACCCCGTCCTGCTCATCCCTCATATCTTCCTGTCTCCTTCATTCCTTCAGGTCTTAGACAAGAGAGGCCTGACAGCCCCTACCACACTTGCTACCTCTCTCTATTGTGTTGTCTTTAAGAGTGTGCAGATGCCCATAGCCTGTGAGTCCTGTCATTTATAATATTGTTCACTGTCCTATTAAACAGACCCTCCACAAGAAAGGGCTTTCTCAGTTTTGTTCGGTGTTGCCTGCCCAGTACCCTAAACCCTGTCTGAGCATAGTAGACTTTTGCTGAGTTTGGGGTGGTGAAATGGTCAGGGTGTCCGGGCGCCCTGGGCTAGTGGGCATCTCCCTCAGTGACTAGGTCAGTCCCCAGATAACGTCTCCACAGCACTGACCCATCCTGCCTGAGCCAGTTTAACCCCAGCAGGGTGGAGCTGAGACCTGAGTTGCCTGCCAGGGCTGTTGCAGGACGGTGGAAGCATCACAGAGCGGTGTACCAGTGCTGGGGCCTGGAGACCAGAGGGAGACAGAGCAGGGGGTCCTTATGTGCTGGACCCTGCAGAGAAGGGAAGGGCAGTGGAGGCCGAGGGAGCTTCCCGGGTGAAGACCGGAGGCCAGAAGTAGAGGACGTGTCAGATGGAGCACAGACAGTGGAACCCAAACCTGCTGTGTGGCTGTGTGGCTTGGATCTCTAGGGCTCCGTCTCCTCATCTGAAGTCCGGGAGCTGAATTGTGCCCTCTCACCCGGAAGTTTGGGAGAGACTCGGGCCTCTCCGCTGGGTGCCACAAAACCTCTTTAAGTGAGGATGGGTCCTGGGCTGGTTTCTGATTTGCTGTGTGAGCAGACTGCTCTCTGTGTATCTGTCTGCCTCTTGGGAAATCTAGCACAATCTGAGCTCCAACAGTACACAGGGGAAAGTTGCTGGTACTTCAGAGCATGTGAAATCAATTTGCTTTTTGCTTTCTTTAAAGTTGCAATACATGAAGTACACTTTGTTCTCAAGAAGTAGGGAAAGACACTTGGCATTGACATGTCTTCTTTTAAGGCCTGGGAATTGTAGCTTCCAGCCTTGGGACCTTAGCGCTACACTGCCCTCTGCCTGTCCTTCCTCTGCTAGTATCAGGGCCACTTCACATGTAGCTCAGAGGTCTCCAGGGAGCACCCCCTCTGCCACCACTGCCACTGCACATGGCTTAATAGCCCATCCTTCCCTAGACCCCACTTATTTAGTCACTTCATGTACATACATCTAGCTTCTTGTAATTAGAAACCTTGCATTTGCTCTTAGCGTTCCTGCCTCTCATTGACCACATCCAGACCACCAGTAATCCTGCCAGCGTGTCTCATAGTTGGCCTCTCCTCTTACCCACTCTGCCTGCATCTATACTCCCTACCCCTGCTCCTAGCTGCTTCCTCCATGGTGGCCAGAAGGACCCTGTGAAGTCGTGGGTCACCTCCACCTGTTCTCTGCTGAGGCCCCTGAGGGCATAGAAGGCCCTGTATAACCTGCCCCCAGCCTCTTGGCCCTACTCTCCTCCCCTGCCCCTCACCCCTGCACTCCAGCCATGTGGTGCCTTCGCTGTCCATCCCACAGGCCCGCTCCTGCTTCAGAGCCTGTGTGCTGGCTGTCCTTTCCTACAACACTGTCTTTCCTACAACACTCTCTCCCTACCCAGTGTTTTTCACACCCCTTGCCCATCCCCTCACCCACTGTGTATTCCCTTGCTCTTATTTATCTTTTTCTCCTCATCAGTTTCATGAGGGCAGATATCTTGTCTACCTTATTCACTGCTGTGTGCACAGCACTTATAAACAGTGCCTGGGGCTTCAAAAACAGTGGGTGGGTGGGTGGGTGGGTGGGTGATTGAGTAGATAGGGGAATAGACAAGGGACTGAATGGATGGGTAGGTAGATGGATGGTAAGTAGATGAATGAGTGAATAAGTGGATCAATGGACAGGTAGACAGGTGGAACTAGGAACTGTGATCGGAGGAGCTTCAGTTAAGTGTTCCAGCAAAGGCTTGGGCTGGCTGCTGGGCTCTTTTCCTGCAGGCCTAGCAGGGCATGAAGGCCTGTATTCTGCTTCCTGGGCCCAGTACCTGTTTTTCATGGATGTTGTGCCCCTGTCCTGTGACTTGCCGTGACGCATCTCTCCCAGGGTCCACGGAGTTATCGTGCTGCACCTGGTGGCTGTGCCTCTCCGCTCTTCTTTCTCTGCCTTGGTGGCGGATTTGCTGGGCCTGCTCTGTACTGCTGCACCTTAAGACTCTTACTCTCTGGGAGGTGACTGAGGTGGGGCATGGAGGAGCACAGGCTCAGATCCAGAGGTGGGGTTCCCTGTGATGCTGAGGTGGGAGACAGTAGCGAGGGCTCAAGTGTTGTTGGCACCCACTGAGCACTATACAGGGATTGCCTCACTTAGTCCTCCAGATGCCCTTGGGAGGAGCGTTTCATGAAACTGCACTATATAGACAAGGAAACTAAGGCACAGAGAGGCTGCTCAGACTTCATCTCAGGTCCTGTGGCTCCGGACGTCTGTCTCCTCCCCTCCCCCACACCTGCTGGGGCCAACCGCACCCCTCACCGTGGTCTCCACAGTCTCATCTATTCTCACCTCTCCCTCAGGGTGCCATGACCGTGCTGTCCTGCTGTATGAGTATGTGGGCAAGCGAATCGTGGACCTTCAGCATACAGAGGTCCCCGATGCCTACCGTGGTCGTGGCATTGCCAAGCACCTTGCCAAGGTAAGGTGGGTGGTGGGCAGGGGGCCTGGAGCTACCACCATCTGTCTCGGTGGTGCTGTGTGTTCTTGGGCAAGCACAGATTTACAGACTGGCCTTGCCAGCAGGTAATGGTGGGCAGTGGGTGGGTGCTGGGCAGCATGAATCATCCCCTAGGTCCTCTTAGGGCAAAGGACAGCACACCTGGGCCCAGGCTTCTGATCTGCAGAGCCTGGGTACAGCCTATTTCTGTCCTATAGTCCCAGGACTCAGAACATAGTAGGTACACAGTAAGTCTTTGTGGAACAGATGGGCAGGTGTTCAAGTCAGTGGGCTGCTGCTGCCTCGCCTCATTCCCAGAACCCTGAGTGAGGCTGCCTGGGCAGCTCCTGGTAGCAGCTATAATGGGAGCAGAAAAAGGCCTCCATGCTCCAAGAGCTGCTTGCAGGGAGCTGAGCTGGGTCCTCAGTGGGCTCTTCAGCTTTTACTTCCCAGTCTGGGCTTGGAGCAGGCTCCTTTACCCATGCCCTGGTGCTTTCTGGGGTCCTGTGAGGCTCCTGTCCTTTCATACAGGACTAAACTATGAAGTCGGGTGTTGTGGTACATGCCTGTAATCCCAGCACTCAGGAGGCTGAGGCAGGAAGATTGCAGTGAGTTTGAGACCAGCCTGGGCTACATAGTGAGACCCTGTCTCAAAGAAATGAGGGAGGGAGGGAAGGAGGGAAGGAAGGAAAGAGGGAAGGGGAGGGGAAGGGAGGAAATGTAAAAGTAAAGACTCGACTAGTTTGTGGGGTCAGAGTCACTGACCTGGCCAAAGTGAGAGGGAGCAGTGGAGCCTGAGAGCTGTGGACAGAGACCACTATACCTTCTCAGGCTGAGCCCTGCCTCTGCCCTGGCCCCCAGGCCGCCCTGGACTTCGTGGTGGAAGAGGATCTGAAGGCCCATCTCACATGCTGGTACATCCAGAAATACGTCAAGGAGAACCCCCTGCCGCAGTACCTGGAGCGCCTGCAGCCGTGACCACCTGGCAAGCGCCCTGCGGCCTTCCCTCCACGCGGACTGCCAGGCCGCGTGCTCTCAGGACCCTGCTCCCACCACTGGGAACAGGCTCAAAGTTATTTTTGTAAGAATGCTCATCCTGCCCAGGTCCAGGTGCCTGAAGGTGGCTGCCTGAGGCTGGGCACTGTAGTGACTGAGAGAAGGGGAGGACAGGTGGCCATGGACCCCACAGCCCCCACCTGTGAAGGCCCTCCAGCTTGCACAGACCTGTGGGCACTGCAAGGGGGTTGGGACCAACTGGAGCCCTGCTCTGTGGTCAGCAGGGGCCAGCGTGGGACTCCTGCCACCATTCGCAAGAGCTGTGTCCTGTCTGCAGATAAGGAGGACGCTCCCCAGAGCTGAGAGGGGCAATAAGAGACTTGATGTGCCAACTTCCAAGGGTGGTAGTACCAAGCCTCAGCTGCCACCAGCACTACCCACTTCTCTTTCTCAGTCTTTAGTGCCCTGGTACAAGTGGCAGAGCCACAGTAGAGGGCAACAGCCCTAATGTGAGAGGTGGTGGATGGAACTCCTGCCCAGGCTTCACTGTACACGTGCTCACACCAACACATGTGCCCAGGATAGGGGTGTGGACAGGCTGGGCCAGTGAGTCGCTTCCTCCTCTTTGTACCCTCATCTTCCATCACTCTGCAGAAAAACAAGGTCATCCCCTCCCCTGAGAGCTACTACCCTACCCCCATCTGCCAGACCCTGGAGACTCTTGAGTGGCAACAGGCCCATACACATCCCAGAGTCCCAGCCCTCACTGGCCTTTTTGCCACCAGCTGTCTGATCTTTCTTGAGTGAACTCACCTTAGAACTGGGGGGAGGAAGGAGGCGTTTCACCCCCAGCAAGCACCATTCTCACTCAAGAGGAAGGAGCATTTCAGCCCAAGGGATTTCCTTGCTGCCTCCAGGCACCAGAGACTTGTTCTCTTTTGTGGCCAGCTATGGCCAAGCCTGTCTCAAGTCCCAGGGCCCCTCCCAAACCAGCCCTCCTGACATTCTGGGGAGGATCACTGAATATACCTTGGCCCTGAGGTACCCACCTCCCTTTGGGGACTGGTTAGGGCTTAGCTTCTTGATGCCTGCTTCGTTCTCCACAAGGGTTAAATTCAGTTCTCAAGAGAGCTGGGGGTGCATGACCCAGGAGTCAGAGTTCCTTTGGGATAAGGTGTTAGTCAACAGTAAATCCCTTCCCAGGGCACTGAGGGTGTCCCAGCAAGAGGCTGACAGGCCCCCCACTCCCTGTAGTGCACAATCCCAAGTAGGGTGGCTGCTGGGGAGCTGGTTGCTGTGATGGCTCTCCCTTGGGTGCTGGCCTCACCTGTGGACTCCCACTCTCCTTCCCCAGACACACCTGGAGTGCTGGCGTCTGCATGCACACATGAGGCGTCACAGGGCTGGCTAGCAGCAGTCACCACCCTTGACACTCTTACCCCTGTACGTCCCCAGTTTGGCCTCCAGGAGAGCCTGGGGTCCTACACCTTCCCCCATCCTCAGCTTGCTGAGTACTCTTAAGGACCAGAGAACCTTGGATGTCCAGGGAAAAGTTGCCAGAACGCATGTCCGCTGGGGAGCTCCATTCCCATGCAAGTTAAGAAAAGAGCAGATTATGGCTCCCCTTCCGAGCAGTCAGTCACACTTGCTGGCCAAAGTAGGCACCTTCCCCTTCTGCCTTGGGCCATCTAGGTTGGGGTCCTCAAGTCCCCCCTCCCTCCCTCCCTCCCTCCCTCCCTAAGAGCACCTCTGAAGTTCTGTCACAGGTTGTCCTGCCTCCAGTCACTCAGTGAGCTGGGGCCTATATGATGAGGTGGCCCAGGTGCTTTGGCCTACCCATAGCAGAGTCCTCACAGCTGCAGTGTGAGTGGTCTCCACAGGGGGCCCCAAGGCAGCTGCTGGCCCTACTCTCCCTGCCCCAAACTTGAGATCCCTCACTGTCCCAACAGCAGGGCCCTTCCTGTGAAGGCTGTGAGCCCACAGAACAGTACTTGAATAAGGAGGCTTGAGGTGGTAGAAGGCCTGGAGGACTCTGGCCCAGAAAGAATGGCTCGGGCATCCTTGGCAGTTTTTTCTGCGTGTTCCCACAGGTTAACCCAAGCATTCTTAGTTCCTCAGGCTGCCTTAAAGTACCACTGGCCCCATTCTGGGGGCTCGTTAGGGCTGTGCCAGACGCCCCGAGGTTCCTGTGGGGCATTGTGGTGGCGGAAATAGCCACATCACCCACCCTGGAGCCATAACCCAATTCAGCCCCTTTGGTGCTACCCCCATCGGTCCCAACCTCACCCGAGTCCTTGCAGGAGCTGGCTGCTGAAACCCTTGGTTAAGCCAAAGGCACAGGGACCCTTGCCCACCCCAGCAGGTTGCCACAGGGTTCATGCTCCCCTGTGCTTTCTCTGTCTATAGAGCAGTAACTCATGTGCCTTTCCCACTCAGGAGCTGCACCAGTGGTATTGGGGCCAATGTCATTTTGCAGGCTTCCAAATCTATCACAAGGCATACATTCAGTGGATGGCACGGGCCTGCAGGACTTTCCCCAGGCCCTGCGCGCAATCCTGTGCCAATTGGATAGGTTGCCAATTTTTAACTGAACGGACTGGGACAGCGTGAGGAAGTTGGGGAGCTCTGGGGTGAGAAAGAGCAGAGATGGGCTGTGTAGGTGGTCTTTGCCCTCCTACTGGGGGGCGGGCAGGAAGGCCCGGGCTAAAAAGCCTGGGCCTCCAGGAACAAACTGCCAGCAGGAGAGGTGTCAGCTGCGGTGCTCCATTTTTGCACAGGTTAAGAAAAGAGCAGATCTGGGGATTGAACTCTGGCACACTCGTCACTGAGCTGCATCCTCAGCCCATTTGATTTTTCACTTTAGGACAGGGTTTCTCTAAGTTGCTGAGACTGGGCATGAATTTGGAGTCTTTCTGCCTCAGCCTCTCTCAGTGTTGGATTGTATAGCTTCTTATTTTTTGAACATCACCATGTGTGTGTGGGGAGCAGCCCCACTTTCCAGGAGTGGAAGACAAGACTAAGGGACCCAGAAAGGTAGTAGCAGTGGCATCAGATTCCATTCCCAGCCTGGGCAATTTAACTGATCTCATCACTTCTGTCCTGGGCACCGCAGCCTGGCCCGCCCCTCCCCCAGGCCCGCAGTCCAGCCCTGATATTTTAGCCTCTTACACAAGAGCTGTGTTGGTCCTAAACAGTCTTCAGAGACTTCTGGTCCAGAGCAGGGAGGTGAGGCCCAGACTTGCTTGAACACAGGCCCATCAGGGAGCAGCAGCCAGGCTTCTAGAACCCAGAAGCACGGAAGTTGTGCACCATGCCAAAGCCCACATCCCTGCTTCCCGGCTGCCAACATGTGCACAACTCCTGAATAGGAATTTTTCTTCTTAGTTCCCACTGTGGAATTGGATGGCTGCCCCAACGAAAAGGGAGGAGGCCACAGTCAGCAAGCCCTTCATTATCTTACCCCATTAATTCCCACAGTAGTTCTGAGAGGTACTAACTCTGGGCCTGTTGAACAGATGAAGCTGAGGTTCAGGGTGATGGAGTTTCCAGTCTTTGGCCACACAGCTAGAGGATTCTGGGGCCAAGCCTAGTTCCTGTCTTCTAGATGGTGGTGCCGAACCTATGTGTTGTGGTCTTATGTCTACTTAGGTGACAGGTTGCATCAGAAAGCAATAAAACCTTCAGCAACTTGATGCTCATTTGGAGAGCTGAGCTGGGGCTATGTGTTGAGCTGTCAGGTGTAGGGTGATGGAGCGTGCCCGGCCAGCATGGGCACGGCTAAATCCTATGGGGAGCTAGTGTCAGAGCTGGAATATTCTTGGAGCACCTGGCTGTGTTTCTCACTGTCTTCCCTCAGTTCAGGATTTTCAGATTTGCCTGTGTCCACCCAGACATCTTTCTACTATTCTCAGGGTCCCACTCCTTTCAGATCAGTGCCCTAAATTTCATGTGAGAGATCCGACAAGGCTGTGAATTCAACTCGTGTTGCAACTCTGCAACCTGCAGGATCAAATCTAGGGTTGTTTTCAGTTGTATCCGTCCTATGGCTACAAGATATTAAAGATGCTTTTCTGGTTGTCAAAGGTACTCTGGTTTTCTGTCACTGTAGGATTGAGTTGTAGGCCATGTTCTTTTTGCTGAATCTCTACTTGCCAGAAGCCACCTGCTTACCCTAGTCTCATAGGTGTGGGCAGCAGTTGATCTGTCCCCTGGTTTTGCCTTCAAAGGATGCTTCACTCCAGTACTTCAAATAGGTGGACGGATGGGGGATTTGTTTTTAAGACAGGGTCTGTCTGTGTAGTTCAGGCTGGTCTTAGCTCACTATGTAGTCCAGGCTGGCCTCAGAGTCACAGCAATCCCCAGCCCTCTCAAGTGCTGGGGTTACAGGCATGTGCCACCACACCAGGCCAAATTTAACTGGTACTGAAAGTACTGGTTTTCCCACTTGTCACAGTCCACCTTTTGCTTTTATTACAGAATACTGGAGACTAGGTAATTGATAAAGAATGGAAATACACTGTCTCAGTCACTCTAATTTCTGGGACAAATACCCAACACCCAAAAGGAAGGAAGGAAAGGTTTATTTAGCTTACAGTTACTGGAGGTTTCAGTCCGTGCTTGGCTGGATCCAAGGCAGACTGGCACAGGACAGAGCGCATCCTTTTATGGTGGCAGCACAGAGCAAGAGAGCAAAATGGAGGAGTAGCAGCCACAATGGCAACAAAGAGGAAGCCTATCTGCCTGCCTCTCCTCTCTCTCTCTCTCTCTCTCTCTCTCTCTCTCTCTCTCTCTCTCTCTCTCTCTCTCTCCCACCCCCCAGACTAGGAAGTACACCAATAATCCCATAATCCCAGTAGATCATGAGTTAAACTCTAGAAGTCCCCACCCCATAACTGCATGAGGCTTTGGGGGGACAGCTAGACACAAACCATAACATACAGTTCCGGGGGCTGCAAGGTCCAAGGGGCCCACATCTGGCAAGGGCTGATTATCCCATGGTAGAAACTAGAAGAACAAGAGAGTGTGCACTTGCAAGAGTGAGGGGGAGCCATGCTCCTCCTGGATGCGGACGTCACTGCTGCAGTAATGACATCCATTGGTCCAAGAGGGCAGAGCCCTCAGAACCTAATCACCTCTTAAAGATCCCACCTCTCCACACAGTTGCATTGGAGGTTAAATTTCCAACATAGGGGTTTTGTGGTGAGGGGATATTTGGACATTAGTGCTGAATGCTGAGACCCCAGGAACCGTTTACCCCCAACACAGGTTATACCTTCTGGGTTCCAGCTCAGTGGAGGCAAATAAGTGATCACATGTTTCTAGCTTTGAGGGACTGTTTCCTAGGGCAACATTTATGCTACTGAGAGCGGTATCATCCAGAGCAGAATCAAGAAGCTAGAAACTGCCCAGGTGCTTCAAACGGGATTTAATGCAAGGGACTGGTTGTGCAACTATTGAGCAAAGAGGTAGGGCTGACAGAAGCTGCCTTTATTTATTTGGTTTTTTGTTTGCTTATTATGTATTTGGTATAGAGTCTCTCTATGCAACTCACAACTCGGACTCAGAGTGATCCTCCTGTTTTCAGCCTCCCCAGCACCAGGATTACAGACATGTGACAGCAAGCCTAATCTCAGTGGCTGGCTCAGCGCACCTGGTGTTGGGGCCAGTGCAGATGTGGTGCCTGGTAGAAGCTGCCCTTACACTGATGCTGGAGGAACAAAGATGTCTCCCAAAGCTGTGATCCCAACTGCTGCTGCTGGTCCTGGTAGAAACTTGCAACCTTAACAAGCCCCAGAAGCACATTTTCTGGCGACTTCTGCCACCCCCAAATCCAGTACCACCACACTGCTTTTACTACCTGCTAGTGCTTCCTACCAGGCACAGTGTTTTCAGTACCTTTGCTGAGACAAAATACCTGACACCCAAAGGTAAAGGAAAAAAGTCTTATTTCCACTCACAGTTTGTAGAGGTTTAGTCCACAGTCAGCTGACTCCAAGGCAGGGCGAAATCACAGAGGAGAAACAGCTCATAGCAAAAGGCAGCGAGGCAACAAAGTAGTGAAGCAGCAGAAAGACAACCTTTGCCCTCTTTCTGTCCCTTCTATTTTATCCAGGCTACGTGTCTATAGAGCAGGTAGCACCTACACCCAGAGTGGGTCTCCCATTCTCCATGCCAGAACTCTGCCAAACTACTTAGTGGACTAACTTAGTAATCACACACTTAGTGCCAGCATTACATACTCTAAGCCACTCTGGAAATTTCAAGACTGCATGAGGCTTTGGGGCACATCTAGACACAAACCATAACACACAGGTTCTGGTGAAAGTAGTTTGATGTGCAGAAGGAACATGGCAGCTCACAGGCAAGTATTGAGGGTAAGCAGGAATATTCTTGCCTGCTGTGGGCTATGGCATATGACATAACGGCCACACATCAACATGGAAAACAATGCACAATAGGCAGACATGGGGCTGGGGGTGTGACTCACTAGCATGTAGGAGGCCCTGAGTTCAGTTTCAAGCACTGGAGAGAGAAAGGGGGGGCGGTGGGCAGCCTGAGAGACTGAGAGTGGTGTTAGGTAGGCCAGTTTACCCGCTGTTACTAACTCTGGCCCATCACAGACTGAAGTCCTATAAGAAATAAAACCTTTCTTTTCTCAAGAGTAGTTTGTCTAAGGGTCAAGGGAGACATGCACACCACCAAATATGGATTATAATGGGAGGTGAGGCTGGGTGATATTTAGTAGTCTTATGATTTAGGAAGGGGTGGAACAGAAGAAATCAAGATGAAATTCTGTCTTACTCTTCTCTCGTTGCTGGGACAAATACCTGACACCCAAATTGAAAGAAGGAAAGGTTTATTTAGCTCACAGTGACTGGAGGTTTCAGTCCACACTCAGCGGGCTCCAAGGCAGAGCAGCATGCGGCAAAGGGCAGACTTTCATGGTGGCGACAAAGAGCAAGAGCACAGAGGAGGGGTAGCAGCAGCTCAAGCAGCTAGCTTCTCTCCCTCCTTACATTGCAATGCAGATTACCTGCCCCGGGGCAGGTGCAGCATCCACACCAACAATAATCAATCACAAACTCCAGAAGCCACCGCAAGACTGCATGAGCCTTTGGGGGGACCATAACAGATTCCTTGAAAAGTTTATTCTTAAAGGTTGCCCTCATTCATGGGAGACTCGCTGAGGGAGTCACACTGCCTTAGTCACTTGCTCAGTGCTAGGACAAGACACCTGACACCCACAACTTAAAGGAGAGGTTCCTTGCAGCTCACACATAGAAACTGTGTGGTGGGATGCTTATCTCATGGAGGAAAGGTACTTGTGTCAGTGGCCAAAAGGCAAAGGAGGAAAGAGATTGAAGGGGGGGCATCACAACTTTCAAGGTTGCAGCCCCAGTGACCTGCCTCTTCTGAGCAAACCCCGTGTCCTGACAGCACACTCATGGTGGATAAATCCTCCGATATGCAGAGCATCCCCATGGTCCTGTCATCTTTCATAGGCCCCAGCTCTGCACACTTAAAGCCTTTGGGGACATTATATATCTAAATCATATGATACATACGTTAGATGTGGGATGATGCTAAGATTGGGCAGGAATAAGCCTCTTTGCAGTTACTCTGGAATCTACACAAAGATGCGTTATGATTTGGACTTTATATGTCTCTATGATAGTTAACTGTCGTATCACCTGAATAAGAAACACGCAGCTGATTGCCTTAGCATAGCTCTGGGTGCGGATGATGGATTCACAAAGGAAGGAGGACCTACTCTGTGTGTGTTGGCACCGACCTGCCAGTAGGCTCAGAGCCTGGATGGAAGAGAAAGGACAAGAAAGAAGTGTCACTTCTCTGTCATTAGAGGAGCTCCAGTCTTCACCATCACCGGTGGACTTCAATCTCCTGGCATCCAGCTCAGACTTTACCCTTGCCACGCAGACCTTTCAGCTTCTTGATACAGACTAGCATAGGACTGCAGTGAGCTTCAGCCCTTTGATTTCTTTTGGTTTGTATTTGGGGTATTTATTTATTTATTTATTTGGTACAGGGTCTTGCTACACAGTTCAGACTCATAGTGATCCTCCTGTCTCAGCCTCCCCAGCACTAGGATTATAGATGTGTACCACCACGCCCGGTTTCAGTGGCCAGCACAGCAAGCCCAGGATTCCAGGAATGGTATGGCATGCAGTATCGGGGGCCAAACCTGGATCTTTGCACTTGCCAGGCAGGTGCTTAGGCTGCTGTGGAGCTATCTCCCCAGCCTGTATTTGGGTTATTTTGTTTTGTTTTGAGACAGGGTCTCACAGTGTAGTGCAGACTGGCCTTGAACTCGCTTATGTAGCCCAGGCTGGCCTCAGACTCTTGGAAATCCTCCTGGTTCAGCCACCTGAGTGCTGGGATTACAGGCATGTGCCTCCTCACCAGGCTGCTATCACAGACCATTAAAGTCTATTCCCATAGTTAGTTGTTCATCATATCTCTGTTTACAAGAATTAGAAAACTCACCAGGCATGGTGGTGCCCATCTGTAATCCCAGCACGTGGGAGGCTGAAGCAAGGTGAGTTTAAAGCTGGCTGGAACTACATAGTGGGACCCTGTCTCAAAAAAAAATTCTTTGGGAAGACAGCAGATATCCTCATAAGTCACAATATGTATATCATCTTTAGGAGTCTTCTGGTCTGTATAGTAAATTCAAAGTCTCCCTGTCTCAAAAAAGGTAAATGGAGTTGAAAAATGGTGGGAAAATATGCAAACTTCAAGCCAAGTTGTTAATACAAGCCCATTAAGTGGAGCTTTTGAATTTTTCTTTCTTGTTTGAT